TAAACTACTAATTATATTCTTAATAAAAATTATATAATTAGATTATATATTATCTAATCTTAGAATTAACTAGATCTTTATTTATAGCTAAAAAAAAATAAATAAATAAATAAATAAATAACTATAGTTTATATAAATAGAAAATTTAAAAAAAATAGAATAAAAAATTAAATATAAATTAGAAATAAATAAAACTAAATTAAATAGATTTAGTTATATATAATCTAATCTTAAAATATCTTTTTTATATATAATAATAATTATAAAAAAAATAGCTTATTAATATTAATAGTTTATAGTTTAACTAGAGAGATTTATTAATAAACTAAAAAGATTAATATATTATTAGAGCAAGCTATACTAATACCCCTCCTGTTTTACTATCCTACAGACTATCAGAGTAACTTATCAGAATAATACCTCAAAGCTCCTTCCAGCCCAATCAGCTGTTCTCCAAGGCCAATATCCGTCGGCTTCACAAACCTCTCTGGATCATATGTGCCCATATCCGGATATTCCTCACTAAAACGTAACTGCGCCTCAAGATCAATAGCTGCGGGACCTATCAATGCTGCCGCCGCCTCGCCAGTCAGCTCTACATAGATAGCTTCCTTTCCGGTTACCTTTTCCCAAACCTCCAGGACCTCTGTGTGTTCCAAATATTCCACGACTAACCCCACGATCTTACCCAAGGTCTGATTGGGACGTTCGAGAATCCGCTCTACAACAACACCAACGTTGTGGGACTCATCGCCAGCAATAGGAAGCTTGCCGCTGGGTTTGCTTGGCATGAGCCAAATGTATTTGCCTGTGGCGGGCTGTAATAATCATCAATGTCTTGAACTCGACCTATACAATGTTGAATAGAGCACATACCCATAGGAAAGGCCGCAGGAGTGGGATAGTCAGGTTAGTCGGATACCATCCTACCCAAAGTATAGTGATCTTGGCGGCTAGTGTCGGAAACCGTGTCTCGATCTCCTCAATTGCACGAGCTTTGTAGTCCATATGAGGAACGTGGTATTTACCGCCTGAAATCTTCTGCGGGCCGGCTAGGGAGCTGACAACGAGGTGCTCAAGAGTGGGAATCTCGAACGCTGCCTTGCCTATGTTAAGCATTTGCTGATACTCCTTTTCTCCGTTTTCTTTGAGTGAGCTTGGATGAATAGGGATATTTTGCCTGTATCTGTTAATGCTACTCTTTCCCCCGAGCTTTGATTGTTCTCCAGAACGTTCCAGACTCACCAGAAGTTGGTAACGCTGAAAATAGCAGTAGAGCCCTAGACAATGTTAACGAAGTTTTCACGAGTGAAGACTAGTAGTATACTAACCGTGAAGGCAGTTTTCAGAGATTCGACATCGTCGAGATCCCCATGTACCACTTCGATGCCTTGAGACAGCAACTCTTTGGCATTTCCCCCCTCAGGATTCCGGGTGATAGCACGGACCCTCCATGATGGGTTCTGGATTAATTTTCGGACAACAGAACCGCCCTGAACACCGGTTGCACCAAGAACCGTTATAACAGACATGGTAAGTGCCGAAGAAGCTTGGAATGAAAGGATGAGTTGTTGAACTTTGGAGGGAGATATGCGTTGAATATGTGGTATTGTCTTTGACGTTGAGCTCGCTGATACTTATAGTTTGGTATTATGCAAATATAGTGTCCAGTGACGCCTTCCTTTGTTATCGCACTTAGGCACAGAGAGTGACATTCAATGTTGTGTATGCGTTCCGCAACTCCGCAAGCGGAAGACTTCCCCATAGCTGAAGGAGCTCAAACTGGGTTGCGACAGAGGTAGCCATCCAAGGACAACCAGCAAGTCATATATCATTACATCGACAGCCCGCACCCTCAGACAAGTTGGCGCCTCCTGTTATTATTACCGAAGCTGTTAACTATTCTCTTGAGCTTCTTGACCACGGCTACGCTCATTGAAGCCTCTGGCAAGTAGGCAGTTTGGTATTTCCCTTCATCGAACTTGTTGGTGTCATGTAATTAATAGTAAACTGTAAAATTTTGAGGGTTGGTTAGATCGCTTTGTCTGGTTCCTCCGTGTCCGAGTACAAAAAGTCGCCGAGGTTCCCCACGTCTGCTATAAACATTCGGCTTTGGCTGGTTGCCAGAATAGCTAGTCAAAAGTCCGCCTCTTGAAAGTCCGCCTCAACTGAACATGCTGGCGGATCAATTCTCCAAAAAACTCTACCTCTGTAGCGAGTTCACCATCAGCGACACTATCCAAAAGGAACGGGGCGAGGTCCGACTCGATGATGAAGTTTTCCCAGGCTACTGACGGGCTATTGTTGGCTTGGGGCTGAGTAGGTATTGGTGATTCCCTCTTTGGCTCGACGATTGCGCGCGTGGACGGCGAGTCTCTTGCTATGCCGGAGAAGGAGCAAGAAACGGGCTGTAATGGCCCCAACCAGGATGCCAGCAATGAGACATCCGATTGCGGCACCTGCTACTGCATCACTAGAGAGCCCGTCCGGGGAAGGGCTTGGTTGCGATGAATTGGCATTCGTTCTACTTTGTTTTTGTACCCGCCACAGAGGCCATGGCAGAAGAGGAGGTTGTCATCGTGTCGGAAGCAGCACTAGTTTGTGTCGTTGCCTGGACATCTGGCTGTCCAACAAACTCGGTAGTGAAAGACATGTTCACGATGAAGAAAAAGAACCCTGAGGGGTATTTAAGCTTTAGAAGATTTATGTAAAGCTGACGAGTCTACATACGTTTGTCTGATAATAAAGGCAGTGTTTGACCTGAGAGTCGGATGAGTGATTTAATTTTACATGTATATATATAATGTGCTTTGTTTGCAGCCGCATCAGCCTTGCTACATTGGGTCGCGGCTGAGAACACTGCCAGTTCCTTGAGATACTACAACCGACAACAAGGCACGAGGTGGCATTAAGATATTTAGCAAGGTTTGGGTGGGCAAGAGTTGATGGCTTCTTCCTTAAGATGGGTGGTCTACCTTTATATGGCTTTTCCTTCATACGGCGCTGTTGGCGTATGCATTCTTCAACACAAACATAGCCTCGGCCTCTTGTCACGAATCTAGACCACATTAATACCTACAGTCTGTATATGATATGTATATACACCATTGAGCGAGAATAGGTCACAAACCACCCATCCAATTGTTTATCCCTTGCCACTAGCCATTGGACTGAATGGACTAAAGGTGCTTGTGAACTTGGGCATTGACCAGACTGGTCCGTTACTACCAATAATGTTGTGACTGATTGTGGCCGGGAAGTCTCAACCCCATACTGCGGACCTATTTCAGCACTACTGTGACTTTGGCTCGCAAAGGCCCGGTCGTGTGGTGATTTGAAGCTACTAGATAGGCATGGCTTGTAACTCCTTCTCCATATCCAAGAGTCCGGACCAAGACATTTATTGGCTCTTCACAGGAACTACCAAAGTGGCACAGGACGCTGATATCACTTTTCCAATTGGCTTTGGATCGCTTTTGAAGGTGAGAGGTATCCCCTCCTCGCATCACTGGCCTGACCAATCTGTCTTACAAATCTAGGTGTGGCCATATATATGATCCCCAATAGGCCAGTTCAGATCATTAGTGACTGGCTAGAAGTGATGAACGGGGTGGACGTAAAGTCCTAACTCCTGATCTATAATACGGATTGGCCCATCTCATCTTGGGGGGTTTCTTGCGCCGGCGGCGATGATCATATAGACCTTTCCACGACCCGGTGCAAGTTGTTCGAAATTAACAATACACTTACGGTTGCTCAGTAGAATGGGCTCCTAGGTATGCCTGAGCGCACAGCCTAGGCTCAGCGGTTCACCATAGATTATCAGGGGTCAGTGTACAGCCACGTCAAAGATAGAATTGTAATCAAGATCGTGGAGCAAGCCTCTGGGGATTGGGGGTTAATGAGTGTTCTCTTCCCTTTTAGCGTTTCCGCTACATGGATCAACAAGACAATTATGAATGCTTTAAACAATGTATCAGAGTGACTGGGTTTGGTACAGAGGAGCTACATCATATCGCTGTGGTCGGCCTGGACGAGGCGGATGCAGCTTCAATCGCAGTCCTCAAAGCAAGTGCTGTTGGGTGTCAAAAGGGTGACCTCTTGTTCACGCTGGGCGGCATGGCTGACTTTTCCCTGATTGCACATCGTCTCTACGGAGTTTGAATTTATCCAATTACGCCAAGAAACAAAGAAACAGGATACGTGCCAAAGAGGCTGGGAAGTGATCAGGTCCCCGATGTGAGCTCTCTCTCCGCGTAAAACTGTGCTGGCGAAGCCGGTCTGTTGGTCTCGCGGGTGACGAAAATATGCTATTGTTTTGGTTGGAGATGGAAGACCCGGCGTTGGTCTAATTACCGCACCCTCCAGTGGTTTCAACAATTGATCCATCATGTTACTATCAATGATTGGAATACTAGCACTAACACCGAATTTGCGGAAAGACTGGTAAAATCACCTTGGGCGCTCGGAATTCGGTTCAGCCGTGAATCCTCGGCCAAAGCAGAAACGAACATCGCTTTTCACTTTGGTCAGACCAGAGGATTGTACGAGAGAGTTCTTTACACTGAATTGGGCTTGAAAAAATGGCCATAGTAATTAAAAAGCAGCTGCCTCTGGAGGGCAAGACGGGTGACATAAAATCGTGAGAGACTGGAAAGTCGTGGACAACGTTGTAAGATCACTTCTTGGCTCGATTTTCTCAGGTTGACAGCAAGTAATAACCCCAACAATATTCAAACAATATGTGAATAATTAACCGTATTTTAGTACTATGCCGCCATAACATGCTGCCATATGCATTCATTCTCCCATATGAGTTGGAATACTTGTGGCAAGTCATCTGGTTGAGGAAGCTTTCAATACGGTGACCTTTTGCTTCTGATATCCTAGTCTTAGGCCTGGATGCTGATACAATCAACACCGTTTCTGTAGCCAAACCGTTATACAAGAAGAACGTATCCGTCTTTTGTTTTTGAAGGCATGGCGCTCTCCTGAGACGATGCTCCCATCCGTGCGACGCGTTGGTGTTCAAAATATCTCGTAGCGGCGCGTTCGAGGTCTAGCTGCTCCATCAGACGCCATTTCGCGCGTAGGAGGCCCAGCCACACGGCGAAACCCACACAGAAAGGGTTGATGATAATAAGGCCGATAATGTACGGGTTCCGGAAGTCCACTCCCAAAGGAATCGCGAGGGAGCTGAGGAGATCTATGAAAAACAAGATGCATAGGACGGGAGAGTATTCGTCGATTGTATCATCATACATGCCTGGGTCCTCTTCTAGGAAGACGCAGATGGGGCGAGGGACATGTAGTGTTTTCTGTATCCAGCGTCCCCAAGCGATAATTGTGCCCCGGTTACGAGCCACGATTAGTTGGATCAAGGGTAGGAAAATCTCACAGCAGAGTTGTATCACCCCAAACTCGATTTCTGACATGCTGATTGTCGTATTGCGAACAAGATAGGCCTCAACAACGCCCGAGGAAATGCAAAGTTGTAATAGTGTAAAGAATTGGCTCTAGGCTGAGCTGGTAGGGGATCATGAAAGGCTTGATGGCTCGTCTTAATTCACAAAACAGCAGAACTTATCGTGCTGCGCCCATGGCCAGCCCATAGAGTTTGTTGGGGAGAGCGACGTACGGCAGTGGATGCTCCCAAAGTGCTTGATCAAGGTTTGAACCATGGATACAAAGACACTGGTACACTCTAGTATCTCACGATGCTGCCTGGAGTGCAAGACCCCCTATTCTATATTCTATGGTTTTTAGGAAGAACAGTTGGACTAATATCAATTCGCATGAGCTTGAAAAACCTTCATTGGATGATTTTTTTACGTCTCGGAATTCAGACGCTCTGTACTAAGATATCATCTTCATGAAGATAAATATTAGGGCCTATTTTCAGAGGCTAGATGCTTCATTTCCCAAAACCTTGGTGACATGACGATCGAACAGGAGGCGAGGGGGTAGGTGATGGCTATGCAGATGGTAAGCCGCTAACATGGGCATTCTCTGGCAAAGCCTGAGTATAATCTACTCTCCGGATCAACTCAAGCAGGGTACCACAAGGAGATGACAAGTGATACATTTTAGTCTAAAACTTATGCTCTGGTCCTTTACTATGCTTCCTCGCATGTAGGTAGCCATTGCCGCTAACAATATTTCAAGGTTACTTGCACCCACATGTTGCAACAAACTGAACGTGCCAACACGTCTCAGAGGGTAAATGGGTAACCAACCCTCTTCACCATCTTCGAAATTTCTTGCATCGGGGAGCTGCCCCCCTCCCGCTGATTGTAGATTTAGGGACCAATTCTATCTGTAGTATATTGTCTTTTTTAACCCTTTTATTCTAAGTGCGTCATCTATTGCTCGGCTTCGGGGGCAGGGCGAACAGGAAGCTCTTTCTGTTGTGCGCCAGGGTGGCGGGTCCCCTTATCCTTGACCTTCTTCTTCTTTTCCTTAACAGGGGCAGGGTATGCCTTTTCTGCTATTTCTTGCCACTCAGGAGATGCTTGGAAGGCTTCATTAATTGGGGCAAGAAGCTCATTGAGAGCCTTGGCAACTGCAGGCTTGAGCAGTTGAGGAGTCAGCTGTGAGTTGTGGTTAGCAATGATCGTGGTTAATATAAAATAGGATGATTTCTGCGGAGGTGACATACCACATCGTTTTTGTAGTCCTCGTGCATCTGCGCGATGGATGTGTAAACGAGAGGCTCGAGCCCATCCCTCTCACGCTCGACACGGAACTCTCGGGTTCCGCGCAAGGCCGAGACAGGAAGTAGAACGTATTCAACGAACGCCAATACGCCGTTCTCTTCTACAACCTTGGGGGCGGCCATAGCCTTCTTGATCTTTTTCGTCACGACCTCTGGTGTGTCAAGGAGATCGATTTTGCTGTCTATAGAGTTCAACCCACGAGGGCACGTGTTACCAGGAGTTCCAGGCATTTGGCAATGGATCAGAATTGAGGTATGAGACTCACCTTGTTCACTTGCGCTCATTTTGCCACCCTGTAAGCCAGGCACCATGGGGTTGCATAAATGGGCACGCTAGGGGAATGTCAACTCTGATCTCTCGCTAAGAAGTCATGTTGTGATCTAACCTCGCGGTATCCTAGCCTTGGGAGCCAGTCCTTGGCAGCAATGAACAGTTTACGTTGGTCCAATCCTAAAGTAGATGCCTGTTAGTGAAGCTGGACTTGCGCATCACTTATCTAGAGGGAAAGCGTTTCCAGGAAAATACCTCCAAATTGAGCATCGACATCCAGGTACTGCTCGTCTAGGACCTGCAGGATAGGGTAGAGAAGGCCACTCAGGGGAGCATTATCGGTCTGCTTGACGATTTCAGCTCCAGCTCGCTTGGCGTCGTGCTCGGATACCACCGACGCCAGCTTGTAGACATCCATGACATATTCAGGGCTTTTCTGGTAAGAGCTTCCAAGAACAAACTTGAGTTTATCGATCGGTACTCCAACTGCCTTGAGCATAGAGGAAATAATCAAGCGGTAGTATTCGGCGCGAAGAGCGACCAATTCGATGGGGGCCTTGAGATTGTCGAGGAACCCGTGGATATCGGCGAGAAGAACGGTAACGTGGCAGCCTGCGGCTAGGAGCTGGGCAATCTTCATAGCAGGAACCAGGTAACCGCAGTGAGGGCGACCAGTTGTTGCCGTTCCTATGAACTCAGTTAGCAAGCAAGCACCAATGCTAGAAAGGCAGAGCAACCAATCTCCTACCCCAGTAAATCTTGGGATGGCCCCCTTCGGCCAAAATCTTCTCGATAATCTCAGGGTTCAGAAACTCGGCCAAATTCTCCCGGATGAGAGCGAGTCTCTCCGCTGCCCCAGTGGGTTCGGCCATTGTGTTGGATACGCGGTTGCGCTTGGGAGGCAATTGTATACGTCCGAATGGTGGAGACACTTGGAGCAGTTGCTTATTCTCAGAGAGAGCGATCTTATCCTGAGGACTAGGCACGCGATCGACTTCGGTCTAGCAGATGGTGCTCGCCGGGAGGTTTTTTGGCGGGGTTTTGTTTATCCAACTGCCTGACTCACATTGGGCATGACTCTTAACGGCCGAAGTTGCGACTTGGTGGGTCAGCGGGGTAGTTGGGCTGATAAGATAAGCGGGAGTGGCTCGACGTTGCCTGAGACGAGACAAACCAAAGCCTTGTCTCACTACATAGGTAAGTACGATTGAGTGTGAAATCACTTGACGTGAAATAACAAGGTACATGGTTCTAGGCCACTCACATCTGATGCTTCGGCTCACTTCATGACTGGACTAGGCTTTCATGGACAATCACTTTGCTACATGGTTTACAACGTTGCCTTTGAGGAACAGGCTCCCACGTGAGACTCTTGTTGAAGTACGCGGCAGAGAGTGATTGGCCTGGTCCCGGATTGTCGTGTCAAACTTCGGGGGCGGCGTATGACAATATTTTTAATTCTGAGTGACAGTGATAGCAATGGCAAATATGTTGATGGCGTAGAAGAGTCGTTAAATGAAGCTACAGACCAGCTCAGACATTGAAAACCGGGTTGGGCCAGTGGCTGCACCCCGCTACTCGCATGACCCCACTCATAGTGCACGCTCTTCACCTCTCTTTAGGTTGACAACACACACAGGCCAGTGATACTGTCTAGCTACCTAGTAGTAATAACACAGACTGGACTCCCTGTAAAAGGAAACTACAACATGGCTATCCCAAATGAGAAGCTACAGAAGGTACGTTTATGACAGCAAACCGAGCGATTCTTCTCTGCAAGATGAGTGAGCAAGCGCTGACTAAAATGGTCATCCAGCTCGTCCAAGAGATCGAGACCCAAGCGCTTGTCGCCCAACAGCAAATAGGGCTGGCCCGCGGCCAGATGGCCTCGAAGCAGCGTGAGCAACGCTTGGTTAAATTGACCCTGAGCGAGATGGCCAGCCTCCCTGATGATGCTGTGGTCTACGAAGGCGTCGGGAAGATGTGCGTGTTCTTGCCCCTTCCCTCCCCCTCTCTGCTTTGGAATGGACAATCTGCTGTTCTCCCACCGGCCGGGGATGAATTTGACGGAAATCTTCATCCTTGGGATGTTCGGTGACCGAGATTGACTAACCGAATCTTCGAACAGGTTTGCAGCTTTGCCTGTGACTGCTCTACGGAAGAAGCTGGACAGCCAGACCAACGATCTGGACGGCGAGGTGGAAAAGCTGAGCCAGCGCCTACTCTACCTTGAGACAACTCACAAGAACAGCCGCGAGCATATCGAGCAGATGCTGCGTGGGCGCTAACTGTAACACCGGTCCCTATATACCTGCGCCCTCTCCCCTTCTCCTTCTTGCTGGAATTTATGGCTAGATAAGCCGGTCCAGGTACTGTATCAATGGCCCACCGGCTTAGATAACCGCCATACCGCTGAACTGGGATGCCTGATCAAGGAGCGAAATTAGGATGGAGATGGATCTACAGAGATGCTGGGTTTAAGACGGCCCTGGCAACTATCGAAAGAAGGACAATGGGTGCGAAACTGGACTCGGTTGTTATTTGTTGGCAGTGAAGGGATAAAAGTTGGCGGCTACATGCAACCAAGCCTGACCGCGCGTAACGGTTGGTGACTGGGAGCGCCTTGGGTCCAGAGCAGCCGTCATGGGGTGGAAAAGCGACTAATAGACATGCACGATCGATGACGGATAAGCTATTTATTGAGCTGGAAGGGATCCGCTACTTTAAATAAATTTGACTTGAGCCTCAGCTCGATGTTCTGGTAAATATGTTGCGAGAGAGGTGTCTTGTCCATAAATAGAACCAAGCAGACGATCCTCCCCAGCCGCAGAGGGAGGGGTGAGCAACTGTGACTAAGGGACCAAAGTAGGTGCCAGCTTGGCGGACACGGTGTGCATGTGTGTGGGTGTAGTGGCTTTGGATGAGAGGGCGCGGCCGCAGACGCATTATTACATAGCATGTCCTGCAGCAAGGATGCTGCAGAAACGTCTCAGGTGCGCTTTGCTCCATCCCAGATTGTCGGATTGCTTTTGTCTCACACAAGCGCCGGAGTCCCACGTTTCATCTCGGGGGCGGCCAGCTTCCATGGACGACAAACAGACGGAAGGCCGAAAAGAGGATACGTTGCGTCGCCGCAGGCCTAACCACGATGCTTGCCTCGAGGCTCGGTTGGGCAACTGATGGACCGAAGCCTGTATTACACCCTGCATTCTTGCTTTGACTGGGGGCTCCGGTACTTGCTGGAGGGGACGACGGGGCCGGGAGGAAGCGTTGCCCGCAGCCTGCCACCAAGTCACACTTATGGAAGTATTCTGCGCACATGCCCAGCCCTACGAGCCACTCAGGCCTGGGCCTACCAGGTTCCTACATAATGGGCCAGGCGGTTGGCTGTGCCAGACCGCACTACGGAGTATACCTGAGCGCCCCTCCCACCCATTGTGCCTGATGGG